AATCAAGATGAAATTGGGGCCCCATCGCGAACTCATACGCTTCATAGTGGCCTCCAAGATGTCAGAATCAATAATACTGGGACTTGCTTGGTTAGACAAATAGGCCCTGACGATCAAATGGGAGGATGGATTCAGAAAAATCCTTATTGGACCGGGCCCATTTCCCCCTCTTCCATCCACTACAAAGGCACCAGTCAGCTCGAACCCAGAGCCTGAGCCAGCATCCATGGCATCCCACCTTCTCCCAGATAACCACCAGGTACCTGACCAATACAAAGATTTGGCTACAGTATTCAGTGAAGAAGAGTGTAATGTTTTACCTCCCCATCGAGCCACTGATTGCGCCATAGAATTAGAGCCCGGGTCGAAATTACCAAAACCAAAGATGTATTCCATGACGCCTGCTGAAATGGCTGAATTAAGAAAATACATTGACCAAAATTTGGACCGAGGTTTTATTGATCCTGCCAAATCAAGATTAGCTGCACCCGTATTGTTCAAGGAGAAGATGGCGGATTGAGATTGTGTGTTGACTTTAGAGGCATGAATGCCGTGTGCATCAAAAACATGTATCCTCTCCCTCTTAAGAAGGACTTATTGAACCACCTGCCGAAGGGCAAAGTATTCACCAAGCTAGATCTCAGGAAAGCTTACTACCGGGTCCGCATCAAAGAGGGAGATCAGTGGAAAACTGCTTTTAACTGCCCTCTGGGTAGCTTCCAATTCAAAGTCATGCTTTCGGACTTCAGGGGGTCCCTGCAGTGTTTATGCAGCTCATCAATGAGGTGCTATACTCGCACCTTTACTGGGGGGGGGTCCTCGTGTACCTGGATGACATCATTATCTTCAGTGAAACCATGGAAGAACATGTTCAATTGGTCCGACAGGTTCTAGAAAAACTTCTAGCCGCCAAATTATATGTGAAACTCTCAAAATGCGAATTCCACAAAGAGTCACTAGACTACCTAAGCTACCGAATATCCAACCTGGGGATTGAAATGGACCCCGGAAAGGTGAAAGCGGTGCTGGACTGGCAACCCCCCAGAACCCGAAAACAACTTCAAAGTTTCTTAGGGTTTGCCAACTTCTATAGACAATTCATTCCGTCCTTTGCTGAAGTTGCCCTCCCGTTGACAAAGCTATTAAAAACGGGCCCGTCACCCACCAAACCAAAACCGAGTCAACCCCTGGCTTGGACTATGGACTGTCAGAAAACTTTCAAGATATTAAAATGCCTCTTTGCAACAGAGCCCATCCTCAAGCACCCAGATGCGACCAAGCCTTTTATTGTCCAAACAGATGCAAGTGATGTAGCGGTGGCAGCTGTTTTGCTGCAAAAAGACTCCCAAGGCTGACTGATGCCTTGCGCTTATGTGTCCAAAAAGCTGACAGATGCAGAGCGAAGGTGGGCAGTCTGGGAGAAAGAAGCATTCGCAGTTCGATGGGCTTTATTGACTTGGAGGCATTTTCTAGAAGGGGCGCCAGAGGCCTTTGAGGTATGGACTGATCATAAGAACCTCAAGGCTCTAAAGACCCCTAAGAGATTATCGCCCAAACAAGTCTGCTGGGCCCAATATTTCAAGCGATTCAATTTCAACATTAAATATATCTCGGAGGGAAAAACGTACTGGCGGATGCTCTGTCCAGAAAACCTCAGTTTGACAGCCACCGAGAGGAAATAGTACAAGCCTTAATTTCAGATGCTCAATTGGCCGGCCAAGTAACCACTCGAACCCAGGCTAACCGCAACCCCAAACGCCTGGAAGATAAGCTGACTGCGGAATTGAAAACAGCCCTATTGACCGATCCTTGGTTCCTGGACCATCAAACCGAGTTGACAATGAATGATGGACTAGCTTGGAAAGGGACTAAGCTTTATGTAACCACAACCCTGAGACTAATGGTACTAAAGTGTAGCCACGACTCCTGGCTGGGAGGCCACTTCAGATTCCTAAAAACCCTACATTTACTAAGAAGACAGTTCTGGTGGCCAAAAATGAAACCTGATGTCGAGGACTATGTAAAAAGTTGTTCAATTTGTGCCACGATGAACCACAGAACTGGAAAACTCCCTGGCCTCCTGCAACAAGTTGCTGAACCAACCCAACCTTGGGAAGAAATCGCAATGGATTTATTGTTGAATTATTGTTGAATTACCTAAGAGTGAAGAGAATACGGTCATTTGGACTATAATTGACATTCTCTAAACAGGCCCATTTTATAGCCTGCAAAGGGCTTCCATCTGCGAAAAAACTTGCAAACCTGTTTGTGAAACTTATCTATAGACTACATGGTGTACCTCGCAGAATAATATCAGACAGAGGGATACAATTTACCGCAAAACTTTGGAGGGAATTTCTGAAATCCATTGGTTCTTTTCAAGGGTTATCCTCAGCTTTCCATCCTGCTTGTAACGGAGCAGCAGAGAGGGCTAACGCCATGATTGAACAATACATTAGATGCTTTGTAAATTATCAACAAGAAAATTAGGCTGAGTTATTACCTTGTGCAGAGGTTGTTTACAATAATGCAGTACATAGCAGCACGGGACTGACTCCATTCCAAATCAACACTGGAATGGATTTTGTCCCGATGCCAGAGTTATCTAGACAACCTCCCTCATCCATGTCCCTGACAGAATGGATGAGCTCGTTAAAGAAAGGGTGGGAAGATACAAAAAAAGCTTTGAACGAAGCTGCAAAAATTTGTAAAGAACAGGTGGAGAAACATAGATCCTTTCAATTGCCTTTTAAAATAGGGGACAAAGTATATTTGTCGACCAAGTATCTTAGGTTAAAACTGCCCAGTAAGAAGCTGGGTCCAAAATTCTTGGGTCCATTCCCAATTTCAAAGATAATCAATCAGGTCACTGTCCAATTACATCTTCCTCGACTATTGGGGAAAATTCATCCAGTATTCCATTGTAGTCTACTAAAACCAGCTACTACATCAATGATAAGATCACTACCACTCGCTCCCCCTAAACTGTTGACGGTACATGGGGAAACATTATGATATTCAAAAAATTCTCAATTCTCGATTACACCGTGGCCGATTGCAATATTTGGTCTTATGGAAAGGATACCCCCTCTCAGATGCTAGTTGGGTAAAGAGTTGGGATGTTCATGCTGATCAATTGGTTAACCAATTCCATGAGGATTTTCCTCACAAAACGAAGGGTCCTGGTGGGGTGGGAGAGGGGGTGTTTTTTTTTCTTTTCTTTTAGGAGGAGGAGTTTTCAAGGGGGGACTCCTGTCAGCTTTAAAATTCAGCTGCCACATATTTTTTTAGAGTGTTAGAGGAGTTGAAAAGTTCAAGGTTATTCTGTGTGTTGTATTAAGAATTTCCAGTTGCAGTTAATTGGTTCTCGTGATTTATGAAGTGTAGAAGGGAGGAGAGAAGGTGGGTTCTGTGTAACGCGCCAAAAAACTTTCACTTGGGAAATTGCTTTTGACATGCCAGATCTGTTCCTAATAAATCAATTGGAGAGATAACGTCTCGGAGTGATTGATATCATGGATACTTTCTGGATGCTTGACAACCATGTATGTAAATATTGAATTTTTTATGAAAAAAGAGCAACTTTTACCTAAAATCAGGCAAAGCAGGCAGGCAGATTGAGTTGCTCATCAGAGATCTATCTATCTGCCATCGGCTACCTGAGTCTGTCATATAAAATTTGCTTGCAGTGAGTCTGCACTGAATAATAAAAGCTTCGGTCCTAAGGAAAGTTGGGCTCTGCTTAAAAGCAGAGCCGAAGATCTAAAGATTAGCTAGAAAGCAAAAAAATGAAGGATTTCCTGCTTTCTAGCTAGTCTAAATCTCCCAGCACAGCAGAACAGCTGATAGTCGGAGAAAAAAAGGAAAAATAGCAACTTAGCAAGCAAGTTTGCCAGGTAAGGAGTGAGTGGGCGGGGAGGGTTCCCATGGCTCATGTAGGCGGCACAGCCTTGTGTTCCTGCACAGCCTGGATTAATTGCTTTGGGGGGTGCTCTGGGGGTGACATTTCTCTGCGGACCACCAAAATTTTCTCATGGTTGGCAACCACTGCATTAAAGAACTCCAGGGGAAAGGGATGATTTATCCTGCTATTATTGCTTACAGATTTTGCAAAATAAACTCGAAAGATATCACAGAGAGGGCTACCATTGAGGCTCTCACAGGGAAGGCAAGAGGCGAAGGCAGCACGTCCCGGAATTGCGCCTGTGGCAGGGGATTTGCTTCGGTGGCTTTGGTGGTGGCAGCAAAAGGCAAAAGGGGAGCAGTGGGCGGGTGGGCGGGAGAGCAATGGGAGTGAAAGGCGAGCAATGGGGGGTGAAAGGAGCACAGCAAAGGAACGGGGCGAATAGAAAGCAATTTGGGGTGGGAAAAGAGCGCACAAAGGAATGGGGTGAATGAGTGGGAAAAGGAAGAAAGCAGGGGGGGCGGCTGCTGCTGCTCCTGAAGTGGGGCTTTGAACACCCCTCCACCCCAGTCCTCTCACAGCATCTCCACATGTGGCGGCGGCAGCGCCAGCTGGGCGTTGAGCACCATCCCCCCACCCTGGTCCTCTCACAGCACCTCCACGTGCAGCAGTGGACCTGGCTGCCTTCCATAAGCAACGCTGTCTCCATCTCTGCCCGCTTCCTTTCCAGAGGTGGTGGTGCTGCTTACAGGAGGTAGCCGCATCCACCGACCTACCTGTTGGAGCACCACCGCCACTTGCGGCACCGCAGCCGCCATGTGGTAGGGAGAGCTGGGAGAGCCTGGGGATGGGGTGGTGGTGGAAGGCAGGTGGGCCCCAGCCAGCACCGCCGGTGGGACGGGACCGCGCCAGTAGGGAAGCCAGCCAGCCGAGCCCAGGGATGGGGGGGCAGGTAGGTAGGCTGAGCGAGGCCCAGGGAGGCCTGGAGATAGCTGGGGGAGGCCGGGGGAGGCCCGAAGATGGCTTGGGGGGGGGCTTGGGGAGGTCTAAGGACAGTGTGAGAAGGGCTAACATGACTCGCCGGCTTACCTGTCAGCAGGCAGATCAGTGGAGAGGCTCGTGTCAGCTCCGGGTTGCTTCTCTCACCTCTCCCGGCAGAGCAAAAACCTTGCAAGTTCCCCTCCCTTCAGGAAATGGCTCCTGGGCAGCAAAGAGAAACAGGATTCAACCAGGCTGCTTCTCTGCTGCCCAGGAGCTGTTTCCCGAATGGAGGGGAACTTGCAAGCTTTTCGCTCTGCCGCAGCGAAAGGCAGGTAGAAATGGCTGCCCTGGTGGGCGGGCAGAAGCAGGCTGCAGGCATGTCATGCATGCGCACAATGGGCAGGGAACGGAGAAGCAGGCAGAGAGGGGTGGGGCCAGTCAGAGGCCCGATTTACCAGTTCTCCGAACTACCTGGAACCATAACATAACCGGTGTCCTATAGAACCGGGCCGAACTGGTAGAATCCCACCCCTGGAGCCTGCATGTGTGCATGCTGGAAACTGGAAGGACATCTCCCCGACGTGTGTGTGGGAGCACTGGAAACTAGAAGCTTAACTTCCCCCTGGTCTTCCAGTTTCTAACATGCCTGTGTGTGCAAAGACCAGCTGGCCAGCACGCGCATGCGCACACCAGAACCTGGAAGAGCAACGGGCGACTACTGGCATGCCTGGAGACATGGTTCTGCATGCCACTTCTAGCACCTGTGGCATAAATTCGCCATCACGGCTATAGGGTTGCCTGCCTAAGCAAGGGGTTGGACTAGAAAATTTCCAATGTCCCTTCCAACTCTGTTTTCTGTTACTTTGTTATTCTGTTATAATTTTCCAGTATTCCAATATGTGAGAATAAAACTTAATTTAAAATCACTATTACACTCTATGCAAAATGCAAGTACCAAAAGCAATAGGCACACATTATAAACTATAAAATAATCAAATGCATTTTTTAAAAAAATACTATAATTAAACAATACAAGTCAATTTTATTTTATTGCTTACAGTTATATGTTTGCAAATTACACTCTTCCCTTCATTGTGCCAAACTGTTAATTATGATTAGTATATTTGGAAGCATTGGAACTGTTTCTAATTTATCTATAGGTACTTTCATGTAGTTTTTTTTATTTTCCTTTCAAAATGGTATTTTAAATGTCTACATGATTAAGTTTGTCTTGTTGTATAATACATATTTGGCTTCAATTTGGTTAATCTATTGTGAATATAGACCATTGGTTTCACCATTGCTGCATATTCTCCAAGTTTAGTTTTCTAATCTGCTATAAATTGTTTTCCAATTTTGTAACCCCATTTTTCTTGCAGACATCAAAATGTATTTTAGTAGATTGTGGTGTATCTTGTTTTTATGATCCAGAAAAACTCTTAATAAAAGTATTTAAGATTGCAATTTAAATTTAGATTTTTGATTGTTTTGTATAATGCTATTTATCATATTTTTGAGATATTTTTACATAAGCATACAGAGCCCTTCCTGATTCACCATCTTTACATTTTTAGTCCAGGAATACACAATGTTAGGGATAACATTGTTTACCCTAACTGGTTTGGGTAAAAATAATAAATATGGTATCATGGTTTGTTAGTTAAAGTGTGTGTAACTTTAACAGCAAGAATGTAATTAAGGGTGTGGTTGTAAAAGCACTATATAAGAAGCGAGACAATTGCAGCTCCCTCTCTCTCTGGCCTACTGATCTCTAATTACTGAATGGATTGATGACTGCGTTCTTGCTGAAACGGGGAGTGAAACAGGAGTGTTGATTTTTCTCAACGGAGAGAAGATAAGATTGACTGATTTATTGTAAGTGAACTGACATTGGCTATTCAACACGGACTTTGCAAATAGAATATCCCCGACAAAACTTGACTGAAATTGATATATGACTAATGGACCGTTATCTTGACTATGCTATAATTCTTAAATGGAATAAACTATATTTTTGATAGCACAAGCGTATCTGTATTTTTACTGCGTGTTAACTAGAAAACTTATCTCACACATTTACCTGTCTTCCTATCTGACTTCGCTGCACGTTCTGTTTAGTTTGTTTTTCCTTAACACCCGTTGGGGAATCCAGGCTTAACACTGGTTATGGGCCCAGAGAGACTGCAAAGTCAGTTTAACTAGGATAAAAACAGGTTTATGTAAAAAGTGAGATTTTTGTGTTGTTACACGTTACAGTAAACAGACAGCTGTGTTTTATCAATTATAGTTTTATATCTATATAGTGAAACATGGCACAAGTCAGTCTACAAAGTTTGTCCCTTATATCCAAGCTGGATGGAACAAACTATGTTTCATGGTCTATGAAATGTAGTCTACTTCTACGAAGAGAAGGTCTGTGGAACATAATTGAAAATCCACCTAACGTAGAAGAATGGGATCCTGAAGATGAGGAAGATAGTAAAAAGATAGAAGAATTTAAACAGAAAAATGAACAAGCATTTTGCATCATAGGACTAACATTAACTGATCAACAACTTGTTCATATACGTGGAGAGCAAACTGCTGTTGGGTGTTGGCAAAAACTGAGGAGGATTTATGTTCGAGATAACGTTGGTGCTCACATAAATCTAACACGGAAGCTTTTCCGGACGTATCTCCAAAAGAATGGTGATATGCTGAGTCATTTGAATACTATGAAAAGCATTTTCCAAGAACTTCATGAGAAGGAGTTAATTTTCTCTGAGCTACACCAGGTCTACATAATTCTATCTTCATTAGACGAAAGTTTTGATGACTACGTAACTTCCCTTGAAATATTGCCTAAAGAAAGCCTAACTTTAACTGATATCACTGGCAGATTGATTGAAGAGGCCAGAAGAAGACTTGAAAGAGATCAGTTAAGGAGGGAGCAACCTCAAAAGGAAAATAATGAATCTCCTACTGCATTCGCAATTAAAAGGTGTTTTAATTGTGGGGGGAGAGGACATTTTGCAAGATTTTGTAAGAAACCAAAGTGCCAGAATGCAAGCCAGAATGCTGTAAGCCATCAAAGAAGAAATAAGAATTATGAGTTAGCAATGTATAGTAATGGAGTTGTAAAAAATAATTTATGGGTGGTTGACAGTGGTGCGTCCCACTGTATTACAAATGATAACAAAAAATTTGTAAAAATGTCCATGAGTTCACAACATATCTCATTGGCAAACGGATGGAAATTGAAGGCAAAAGGTGAAGGTATAGCTCATTGTTCTAGTATAAATGAGAACATAAAAATGTTATATGTACCTCAATTTAAATTTAATTTGCTTTCAGTTAGAATGTTGGTTAGATTAGGATACATAATTACCTTTAAGGGAGATAATTGTTTAATTGAAAAAGAAGGTAAGAAAATTACTGCATCTTTAAGAGGTGACTTATATGTGTTAAATGATAATGGTTTAGAGGTGGCTAACACAATTTATGATAATAAGAAACCTCATAATGAATGTATTCACTTGTTACACCGACGGCTAGGTCATTTAAATTTTAAAATGATTAAGAGAACTGTTCAACTATCTAAAGGAATAAGTTTGAAACCTTGTAATAAGTATTTGCAATGTTCTGCTTGTAATCAAAACAAAAGCAAAGTCATACCGGCAAATAGAGTTGATGGATTTACTACCAAAGAACCTTTAGAGGTAGTATTTGCCGATATAATAGGTCCTAAAAAGCCAAGTGTAGGTGGTGCAAGATACATATTAAGCATAATGGACCACTATTCTAGGTATGGTTTCTATTTTTTAATGAAGAGAAAAACTGAAACGTATACAAATTTCTTTAATTGGTTAAAATTTGCAGAGAGGAAAACTAAAAAGAAACTAGTAACTCTTATAACAGATAATGGTGCGGAATTTACAAATAATAAATTCCAGAATAGACTTAGAATGGCAGGTATTCAACATAAAAAGTCTGCACCATATAGGCCTCAACATAATGCATTTATAGAGAGACGAGGTCAAACACTGCAATCAGTGGGAAGGACAATGTTATCTGATTCTGGATTACCTGACAATTTGTGGGGAGAAGCTATAATGTGTGGTAATCACATATTAAACAATGTTGTTAATTCAACAACAGGTGAATTACCATTCACTCTGTGGCATGGTAGGAAACCTGATTTGAGTTATATTCACACATTTGGTGCACCAGCATGGGTGCATATCCCCACACAACTCAGGCACAAAGGACAACATAGAGCTAAAAGATTAATTTTTGTTGGATATCAAGCAAACCATAGATTTTATAGATTCTGGGAACCAGGTACAACTAGAGTATACTGCAGTGCTAGTGCACAATTCCTAGAACATATAGGATGGAATAGAATAGAGCAAGATTCAGATAATGATATAATTATAGAACCCTACAAGAGGCAAAAAGAAAAGACTAGTTATAAGAAAAGTCCAATTAAAGAAGAAGTCCATGAAGAGCAAATAGAATCAGATCAAGAGGAGATAATTGATCAAGAAGAGATAGATAGTCAAGAACAGGAAATAAAGGAAAGTCCACCTGTAAGTCCTGTTATACCTAGACGCACAACGCGTATAACTAGACCACCTGATAGATATCAGGCAAGTATTGTTTGCCAAGTAAATAAAGTTCCAACTAGCATAGATGAACTTAAGATGTATCCTGCTAAGGATCAGGAGAATTGGCAAAAGGCAATGGAAAAAGAGTTAAATTCATTAAAGGAAATGAAGGTTTATGAAGAAACCAAATTACCTCCAGGAGAAAAATCCATTGGGTGCAAATGGATATTTAAAGTAAAGACTGGAAATAATGGGAAAGTAACTTATAAGGCTAGATTAGTAGCACAAGGATTTAATCAAAATGTATTTGATTATGATGAGGTATTTGCACCAAATCTTAAGGCTACAACTTTAAGAGCAGCGTTAGTGTGGGCAGCTAAGAAGAATTATATAGTTAACCATTTAGACGTAGAAACTGCATATCTGCATGCACCATTGCAGCATATAATATATTTGAAAAAACCAGTTGGTATAAATGATAATAAAGTAAAACAGGAGTGTTGATTTTTCTCAACGGAGAGAAGATAAGATTGACTGATTTATTGTAAGTGTACTGACATTGGCTATTCAACACGGATTTTGCAAATAGAATATCCCCGACAAAACTTGACTGAAATTGATATATGACTAATGGACCGTTATCTTGACTATGCTATAATTCTTAAATGGAATAAACTATA